TTTATAAAAGCGTTCTATATTAAAAAGTTTTTTTTATATTATTTATTTTTTATCTTCAGGAGACTTCAAATAACAATATCCAATTGTTTATTTAACTTCTTTTATTATTAAATATTTTTTATAGGACCCCTAAAACCTCAAATTGGTCCACCATTTCTTTTTTTTTGACTTTTTAGGTGTCCGATAAAAAAATAGTCAATAATAGAAAAAGCCAACAGATCGCAGCAATCGGATGCAACTCGTTTCGCTACACACTAGTCGATCGGTTGACGATTTTAATTTTACCTTGTTCGTCGGCAAGTAAACTAATGCGCAAAACGGACAACANACATGTTAAATTATGTATTAAAATCTATTTAACCTGTCTATTAGTTCCTTAATAAATGTTTTACCTAATCTTGCTATTTTTCCGCTCATGTTCACTCTATATGACCATAAAATAAATTACAAACGTAATTTGGCGTACGGCCAACTTTTTTTTGTCTATAAGGGTGTACGGTCTAATATCGAGGGTTGCGCTTTTATAAGCCTTTTTTATTTATACATATTTTGCATTTTCAGATTGGCTCTCAGTTAGAGTCTCATTTGTTGAAACACACCAAGACTGGTAATACCTACAACACCGAAATCAAGGAGGTTTGTGCGCTCTTCACCACCGATGTAATATCATCGGTCGCCTTTGGCATACAAGCTAATAGTTTGAAAAATCCAAACGGTGAATTTCGCACACATGGGCGAAAGTTTGTGAATTTTACGCTCGGTAGAGCGCTCTCCTTTATCATCGCATTCTTCTACCCAAATTGGGTTAGCACATTTAAAGTAAAAGTTTTCACGGCTGAATTCTCTTCCTTTCTACGCAAAACAATCGATCATGCTATTACGGAAAGAGAGAAGACTGGAGCCATACGTAACGATTTAATCGATGTGTTGTTGGGTATGAAAAAGGAGTTGCTCGCGAGGCAAGAGTACGATAACGAGGCGCAGGATATGCTAACAGCGCAGGCAGCAGTATTTTTAACTGCCGGTTTTGAGACGTCATCTTCAACGATGGCTTTTGCGCTGTACGAATTGGCCAAACATCCGGATTTACAGGAGCGACTACGCAACGAAATTCGCGACGCACTTCTTATCGATCATGGCAAACTATCTTATGAGACCATCACCAATTTACCATATCTGGGCATGGTAGTGGATGAGGTCTTACGTTTGTATCCAGTACTACCTGTGCTCGATCGCGAGCACCTTCCACGGGAAGAAGATAAGCCGTTTGATCTACGACCGTACTATGATTACAAAGTACCAACCGGTATGGCTGTTTATATACCAATTTTCGGCATACAACGCGATCCTAAGGTGAGTTGATCGGACTGTGAGAGCGATATATAAGGCGTTGATTGTTAAAAACTTGCTTTTACAGTTATTCCTCTGCGTACTCTTTATCCGATATAAATAAGTTCCCTTTATATTTTTAGTACTGGCCCAATCCTGACACCTTCGATCCGGAACGATTCAGCCCTGAAAATAAAAAGCTACACGAACCCATGGCCTACTTGCCATTTGGCACTGGTCCGCGCAATTGCATTGGTAGCCGTATTGGTTTACTACAAGCAAAAATTGGTTTGGTTCACATTTTGAAAAATCATTTCGTGACCTTTTGCGATAAGACACCAGCGGAGATAACTTTCGATCCCATGTCTATAGTGCTGCAATATAGGGAAGGCATATACTTGAACGTAGTAAATGATGCGCTATATGAGCAAAATGCGAATTAAGGATATTGGGAGGAAGTATCATCTTACAAAATATGAGCTGGCGTTTATTGGATAAAATAAATACATAGTATTAGAATTTATTTTTAAATCGAAGAAAGAAACAATGTACATATTATTTAATATACAGTCCTATGTTAATATACAGTCCTATGTGATAAACGATAAGTAACAAGATGCCGAAAGTCTACATACAATAAAAATAAAATAATAAAAATTTTAGTAAACCGTGATATTTTTACACATTTCACCACAATAATGAAATGAATTTCGTTACTGCGTGGGTAGAGGGTTGTAAGAGACCTTTCGGACCTCTAAGGAAGGACCTAACTTAACCGCTTATGTAACCAACATTTTTGGGTAATGTAAATATTTTAATGTAATCTGAATAAAACCCCTCTCTTAAGTACATCCCCGCTTATTTACCCAACCCGGGTAAGTACCTAAATTGTTCGTCCCCCATTTACCATTCTACTTATAATTTTCCCGTGCGCTCCCGCAACACATTTGGCAAACAAATTCTTGAAACTTGCAAATTTTTACATTAAAATAGAGTGGGATATAAACACTTCTGAGAAAAAAGTTTGAAATTTTGATGTTCTAAAAAATTTTAAGCTTAGGGTTATATGGTATTTGTTAGGGAATGAACTGTGTTTTAATTGAAAAATCTTAATCATTAATAAGTAAGCATAAGTGGCAAAAAACATAATTAAATGTTCATGTTTTACTCAAGGACTTATTTATGTAAGTTAACAAGAAGATTAACTACACCAATAATTATGTTCGCTCAAGTACCTGCAACGAGGTACTCCTCCTTTGATCGCGGAACCTTTAATCAGCGGTAGGACCAGTTGAGAGGTATGCCGATCTTTTCGGCATGCAGTCCCGAGGGTAATTGTCCTTGTGGATAGCTTTGAGAGCCATTAGTTTGTAAGTATTTTCCGTTCTTATTCCTAACAGTACTTTGGTTTTAAGTGAGTTGTAGGTATTCCAACTCTGTCTGATATTGCTATACGATTCTGTATAGCTCCACCTCTGATTAGCTTTTTTATTTTTTTATTTCATTGGGTGAGGCGCCCTTGTCCCCCGCGTGTAACACATTTTGTGCAGAGTCGTATTTTGCTATTTCATCCAATGTCTTATTTCCGTAAACGCCCCTGTAGAGTTTATTAAAAATTGTGGCTAAATCTTTTCTAACTACGGTCCTCCAAAAATTGCAACTATACCGCTGAATAAGAGAGCACTCGAATTGCCACTTGGTTACAGGAGAAAACAATCACCTGCGTTCTTAAGAGTGCATGAGGTTTTATATACCTTACAGCCTTCTCAATTGCATTTGTTTCCTCCAGTCATGCCTTGCCAGCACTAGATCCCTCCCTGAATTCAGTCTTCGCGGCATAGTAGCGGTAAAAGTTTTCATCACTGCAGGATGCCTTTCACTGAATATATGTGGACTTACTATGAGTGCTTAGTGCAGCATGGATTCTCTGCTCCTTAACAGAGATACATTCAACGACCAGATGCAGTAACCCATCCCTACATCAGTAACATCAGTACATTACTAAATACCCCTAAGTCTTTTCAAGAGGAAGCCATAGTAAACTGTTTGTATTTAGTAAGCGAGTTTTTAAGAAACAATATGAGCAGTTTAAGTGATAAAATTACTANCAATGGGGTTGTATAGAATTGCCGTTCTTCGTTGGGAATTGCATTGACCTCAGGATCACATGAAGCGGCAGGTTTTGGTCTTCAATTCAATAAAAGTTGATTCCCATCCGTCACACAGTGGTCTGAAATCTAAACCTTGATGAACAATACTATTTGCTCAAATACGCTTAGACACAGTTTGTCAACACTTTGTTTATTAAACTGAGGACTGCCCTTCTTTTAATGGGTGGAGTTTTAGGTACCGCGTCACCTAATTTCATTTTTGAATTGCGTAATAATTTCAGTCGTCAAAATTAATTATGCCCTCGCGGCCCAACTTAATTTTTTGATGGCGTTCTTAATACACGCGGCCAAAATTCACGGTGCTACAATTTTCTATTCAAATGGCCCGTCATTCTTAGTTATCCAGGCTACTACTTTGTACCCGTAGGTGGCGGAGGAGTCGAGATATTTGGGAACCCCGCATTTGTGGCTCGATTTAGTTCATATTTAGATACATAGCTTGTTTTAAATATTTTTTTACTACCTATTAACTTGTTTAGAAAACAGTTTTTCTCTTAGTGTATCAGATCACTGGACTCTTGCGAAATCTCATCGATAGTCCTTAACAAGTTACCTAATCAGTTCACTATCCGCTTAGTGTGGATGCCAAGTCATAGAGGCATGCAAGGTAATTTCATATCAGACGAACTTTGCGAGGAAAGTAGCCTCTCTGTATTACGCCAGCTCCTCTCGTCATGCGGAATTGCCGTTACCTTTCCTTAACTTAATCATGGTTTTATTCGACATGCTAAAAAATATACTTGAAAACCTTGGCTGGGCATAAATCAAGAACCAAGTTCCGTCCTCGTTTTGGCTATCACTGCGCTAGATTTACACCAGTTCGATTTGCTGCATGGTTCGTATGCCCTCGTGATCGCCCGTTTGACACACGCGATCATTTCGGGTGACATTGCAAATCACAAATAGCACCCCATAAAATGCAAAATTATTTTGTTACTAGAAACTACTTAAAACAATTGCTCATTACATTCAGCAGTAGCGACTTGAAGATGAGCTGAGTGTGGATAATGCACAAAAAAAAAATGATATAAAATTACCCGCAACACGCAAGCGTGCTATTGACCTAAGTTAAATGCCAAACATGCTTTGATTTATGAATTATAATATAAGTGCTCGTATTTTACAAAATCTCATCTGTATTGGTGTGTTCTGTGTGTATACCGCTTAAAATCTATTGAATCCGGCTAACTTTCACTCACTCAAGCGTCCAACACGGTCTCGCTAGCATACAACACCTCCAACTCTCAACTATTTTCACACAACGGACTACGCACAACGTTCAGGTAAATACCACCCTCAGCCTGCACCACAACCGCCTTGCGATCCAGCTGCATGGGAATCTTTGTGCGCGCACAAGTCGTCACTTTGTGATTCAGTAGAAAATAGGTAAGTCCAACTTTTGTCTGCATCATAGCGAAGCGTTCGCCAATGCAACCGTGTGGTCCCAAACCGAAAGGCATGTAAGTGTAAGGCTTCAGTTGTTTCTTGTTTTGTGGCGCAAATCGTTCAGGATCGAATTTTTTCGGTTCGGGATAGATCTAAATGAGTTTTAATAGTAAATAAAGTAAGAGGATGTATGTAGATAGAATGTTCGTTAAAAAAGTATCTACTAAATGTATTACTGCAATAAATACCTCAGGGTCCATATGCAGCCCATACACCGGTATATAAACGGGCATGCCTTGTGGCATACGAAACTTGTGAAACGGCTCCAGCGAGTAGCCCTCCTCCGCAGTGCATTGGCGGTCGAGAAAAGGTAAAGGCGGATACAGACGCAACACCTCATCGATTATCATTTGCATATACGTCAACGAATCTATAAATTCTTGCGTCACTTTGCCCGCCGTACGACGCAATCCATCAGCGATTTCAACGCGCACACGCTGCTGCAAATCAGGCCGTTTAGCTAACTCATACAGTGCAAAAGACATGGTCGCCGAGGAGGTCTCAAAACCAGCTGTGAAAAAAAGTGCCGCCTGTGCAACCAACAGGTCACCCTCAAACACGAGTCCATTTGTGGAAGGGGTTTCTTTTGTAGAGTTCTTGAACTCGATGAGTATATCGATTAGATCATTACGCTTTTGACCCGATAGCTCGCGTTGTTGCATTACATAGTTGATTGCAGAACGCAGAAACTCGGTGGATGTTGGGGGTACGACTTTGAATCGTAGATAGGGCACCAAGTGCGGCATGAAGAAGACTACCATGAATTCTAATGAACGACGTAAGCTAAACTTGAAAACTGCGCGACCATGGCGCCGGAATTCGCCATTGGGATTTTTGAAACAGTTCGCTTGGACGCCATAGGCGACAGTGGATATGACATCTGTAGTGTAAAGAGCGCAAAGTTCTTTCATTTCTAGTGTGAAGGATTTCGTTTCGGCACATACAATGGGTTGTGTGAGTAGATATTTGTCGAGCTCGCGACCGACCTGTAGTGGCAAGAAAAAGAAAAAGAATTATAGTAGGTGCATTAGATTACATCAGCGGTGTTAAAGAAGTGACTTTAATTCATTGCAGTCACATTCGTTGACTAAAGCAGGGATCACACGATTTATACATTTGTACAGACTGGTCCATTTTTATTATTACAGCGTGGTTTTGTTTGGAAAGTTGTTATTGAGCTGAACTCATTCTCCGTACAAATTTCTAGACAATACCACTCTGTGACAGCCAAATATACAAATCGTGTGATCCCTGCTTTACGCTTTTTAACTGCAGCCAATGAGTCACATATTTGACTACAGACTGGAAAATTTAAGTTATTAGTCTTTCCTGTTATTCATGACTAATTAATTATTTTTCAGTCTTAGGTGAATAATGAAATTCTAAAGCAAACTCTGCTTGCACTTCCTTATAGAATTAGAATACTTGTTTAGAAAATAAGTAAAGCTGATGCCAGATAAAACTTTGTAGCTTTGCGTGACATTTATAACTTTGCCAGCAAAGCGCCAGACGCAAAAGGTATGCCACAATGAACGCCAAGAAAACAATGTTGTACCGCTTTTTTACTCATCAAAGTTGCTGTGGATTTTAATTATTTTGATTTAAAATTATCAGCAATGTAATTAAGTTTTATGTTTCTGCATGAAAACCCGAATTTGGACGAAACAAAATAAATATTAAACCGGCTGATTGTNACGCAAAATTTAAATTAAACTTCAGTTGTATATAAAATATTTAGAAAATGTCAATAATTTCCAGAAATTTTCAAAGAAATAAATTTTTATTTGTTATAAATCTTCTTAGGGCCATTTACACCTTTCTAGATAATTCTAACTTCCAGGTAAACATCGTTATCGACGTTATTGACACCCAGCATGGATCGATAAAACAGTCGATGTGTTTAACTGAAGGATATACCTACAGTTACTGTTAAGTAGGCGTGGTGCAAACGGCCCATAAAGTTCTAAGGGCTGTTTCCAGCGCTCAAGAAAAACGAAAAATTCATTTAAAAGGA